GTCATGAGAGACATTGAAGGTCGACCCTTTCCCTCTCTGATGGCTACTTCAAGGAGAAGCCAGACTTGCTTGCTATGGGAATATTTAAAGGCCACTCCTGCGTGGAGACGTGAGAAGTTGCTTGCCAGAAGCCAGCAACCCCGACATCACAGAACTGGATCCTCCATCCTTGGTCAAATGATCAGATTTGCATCAAACTAATCAAACTCGATTGCATACTCATGGGGATGCCAAGTCAGAACCATCCCATCAAGATGTTCCCACAGAACCACCAGAAGGGAAATGCTTGCTGTACTTTTTAACTTCTGATATTTGGGATGGCATGCCATTCAGCAACGTGGAGATTCAGGTACCTGAAGGCAGGAGCCATTATAACAAGGACTCACACCATAGGCACGGCTCCAGAACCAGGTCCAGATGATGGTATAAGGAACTTTGGGGTAAAAGGAGAAAAGGAGTCTGAGTTTAAGGAACTTCAAAGAGAAGAAGTTAATTGGCATTAAAAAAAAAAAACTGACAACAAGGGCTTAAAGAAAATTATGGGGCGTGAATCCATGCTAATAGCTAGCAAGTGTTACTGAGAGAATATGGACTTTGGAGAGTGTACTGAATGGACTTGGAATTTTCTACAAATCTCCAGGTGGGGCTGAGGGTGCCACGGGTGTCATGCTTATTCTTCTGGTGCTGTGTAGGTAGAGAACTGAGACCGGCATTTCCACCGGAAGTAGTTGTTAGGCACGGGAGGTTTAGCATTTGCTGGGCTGGAAAACCCTCATGGAAAACAAGAAGGAAATTAAGGACAGGCTTTTGTTAGTGGCCGTGTCCAGGCCGCCGTCAGAGAACCATGGTCGAAGGAGAACAGCATGATGTGCCTGCGTAGTCTTCCAATGAGACCTCAGAAAGATCAAGACAACACACACAAAAATAACTGTCAAGCAGTTAAACTGCTGAGAAATTTAAGGTTTGTGCTTGCCAGAGGCCTTGGCAGGCGCTCAGTGTACAGATTTGAATATGTATTTATTTATTTAGTGTATGTGTGCTGTAGTGTGTATAAACATGTGGACATTGGTGGATGCGCCCAAGCACATGCGTGTGGAGGGAGGCCAGAGAAGGACTGGGCCTGTCTTCCTCTATTAATCTCCTCCTTCTTTTTGGGGGCCAGGCCACTCACTGAACCTAGAACTTGGCATTTTAACGAGACTAGCTGGCCAGTGAGCTCCCAGGATCTGTCTACCCCCCAACCCTGGTTACAGGCACATGACACCTTACCCAGATTTTATGTGAAGTTGAGGATTTGAACTTGGGTCCTCTTACTTTTACTCACTGAACCATATCCCCCAAACCTAAAAAGGTTTATTTCGAAGGGATTTTTCAGGAGTAGCTTTTACCCGACAGAGTAAACCTAACAAAATTCAAAGAAATCCAAGTTTTGTAACAGAAACCTGGCTGGCTCAGACTGGAACAGTAAGAGAGATTCTTAAATGAAAGGAGGTATTGATTAGGCAGAAATCAGACTGAGAACACTCTTAAAGTTCAAACATTTTCAGGAAAGGGAATAAAGGTGAAGGAGCAGAAGCAAGAGCTCAAAAGTATAGAGGGAAAAGCTAGAAAAATCATCCAGGCCCTGCATGACCACTGCATTGCAGCATCATTTCCAAGCAGTGATTCCTGGGTGTTTCCCAACATGCCTCTGCCTTCAGTAGACACTCTACTGGAGTTACTCTATGCTGTAGAACCACTGGCTCTTGGGTGTATGTGGGGCGGGAGGGCTACTTTCCCTCTTTAAATAGATTTTCTTCGAGACAAGCTGGATTCGAGGTGATATCTTCAACTACATAGAAGCAGCGTCATTCTTCCGTTTCATTCTTCCTCTGTCGTCTTTAATTCGGACGACAGTGTTGTGGACACTGAGCTGACAACGTAAAGAACGAGGCTCTCTTCCTCTCCACCAGCCAGTCTGCATAGTCCTGGAGGGTGCTATGCAGGCTGCTGGGGAAGAAATGGCATCAACCGTCTTGCTAAGCTGTGCATCCTACCACCCTTGGGACCAACCTCCCCGGCAAGATGTGTCTACTTGTGCAGCAGCGGCCACTACTGCTCATCGGAACACGGTCAAAAGAAGGGCCCATGGTGCACCATGCCTTGGGGGCCTGAGACAGAGGCTCCAGGAGAAAGGCAGAGCACCTTTCCCTCAGGTGTGTTTTCTTCCCTGGATGGTTCTGGGACGTGATCTCTGTTCCCTGTGACAGACATTTACATTCAATTTATAAGACAGGCTTATTCTTGTTGGATGTCAGATCACAGCTATAGAACCCAATCTGGTTTGTGTCCCCTGAATCTGAAGATGGCCTTCTGCCTTTCTTTCATGCTTTCCCAGATATAATCTATAATTATATATGCCAGGCATTGTGTTTAAATTGGTTTGCCCTAAGAAAAGTCCTGGAAAAGGGCTGCTCTGCTAATATTTAGTATGTGCTTACTTACGTTTATTTGCATGTTTTTTGGATCATGTTTTTCTGAACTCAAACAACCTACCTTGGATCATTGCTTTCTTTGTTACATTCATGTATAAAAGCCCCTGAAACTGAAGTAAGGTTGTCTACAGCATGAGCCTATAGTAAGGCTGTCTACAGCATGAGCCTGTGGTTCACCGCACCCTTTAAAGTCCTCAAATCCCACATCTTGCAGACAGCTCTGCATAGGTTGGTGAGTCGACACTGTTAGGAAGGTAATCAACTATTCTCTGCTTGGATTTTCGGCACCTCCTGGGACTAACCCGGACAAAGAAGGGCCATGGCAGGAGGGAGAACATTTGCTTTTGTTTTTTCCCTGAGCCGATTTGTCCTGTTGTTGCAGCTGCTGCTGACTGTGGATCTCAGCATATCCAGGCCATTGTTGGCTGAGGACCAGCGATTCTTCAGGAGCCCTCCAAGTTCAAGTGCTAGACTGAGACTACTGAGGCACACCAATATATCATCCTATTGGGTCTGCTCCTCGAAAGAACCCTAACTAATACAATACCTAAGAGAAAAAAAATATGCATAAAACTCATACAAGAGGAGAAGCAAATGATCACATGGTCAACAACAGACAAAACCCAGAAATGAGCCAAATCTCCACTAATTGATGTATTTATAAATAAATTGTGGTCTAGAGAGAAAATGGAAGATCAACCATCAACAAATAATGCTTCTGGGCTTAGGCCCGTCACCCCTACAGTCATTTGTTGCAGCCGTGTGCCCCAGCATGGCTGTATTTAAAGGCACAGCCTTGAAGGAGTAAGTAAGGCCACATTCAAGGGTGGTGCCTTATTCAGTGACTGCGGAGAAGACGTTAGTGGCATCTTTCCCCTTGTGTGTGCACACAGATAAAGGGCGCGTGAATGCCTGGAGCGAGGACTCTCACCCATAAACCAAGAGGGGTTTCAGGAGACACCAGCCCTGCCGTAACTAATCTTAGATTTCTGACTTTCAAAACTGGGAGAAAAAAATAATTTCTAAGCCACTTGGTCTTCTCAAGATAAGGAGACAAAGGAACGAAACACTGATGTGTTATAAATCAGTCGAACTTGGACATTCTGAAGCCAGCAGAAGAAGTCACATACCAAAGGCCACACACATGAGGTGTCTAGAACAGGGACATCTATAGGGACAGAAAGTAGGTTAGTGAACATTAGTGGCTGGGGCTTCAGGAAAATCTGGAGTGACAGCAAGTCAATACTTTTTTCAGAATGATGAAACGTCCTTCCGTTACTGTGGTAATGATCGCATATCTAGGAAGAAGCAAAAAGCCCATTGGATTTGTCCTTTAGATGAGTGAGTATGTGGTGGGCACATCATGTCTCAATAAAACTGCTGACGGAAGAAGACTGAGAAGGCCGGGTCAGAGGCTAATCGAGACCAAGATGGAGACAGCAACAAAGGTACAGAAAAGCAGGTAGATGGCCAAGTAGGGTAGCCTGTCTCAGCCCAAAAGATGGTGGCTCGAACATGTGTTGGTGGCATCGGCACACACTGTGGCCACCTGTGCTCAGCATGAAGGGTGGGAGGTGATGCCCGAGCAAAGCAAAAAGGAGAAACACCAGAGGGAAAATAAGGATGACCGTGTCCTGATCCTTCCAAGCCCTCAGGCACAAGTGCTCAGACAGGGATGACAAAATAGGCTGAGTGGATTCGAAGCTAGGAGCAGGAGAGAGGGGGACTCCTAGCCCAGTCTGGGCATGCCAGGCATTGGGGTGCCAGTCGGGGAGGAGGAGGGAGGGGAGGAGGGGGAGGGCTCAGGTAAGCAGCAGCTAGTCAGGTTGGGAGAGAAGAGGGAAGAGAGAGAGCAGATGGCATCACGGAGCCCTGCTGGTCAAGGCCTCCATGGTATTAGGATCACTGCTCCTTGGAAAACAGCTTAAACCGTTATGAAGGAGGGAGAGCTGTTCCTGACGGGGGTTGCAGAGGAAAGGGGTACAGGGAAGGGAAATGAAGAGAAGTGGTGGCAGGCAGAGAGTAAGGACAGGTGGAGAGCTGCCCTGAGGTAGCAGGGTCAGCAGGCTGCAGGTCTTAGTGCTTAACTAGTCTTGGGTACATATGATGAGGAAAAAGTAAATCTTCATTATGAATTCAAAAGGCCTGCACACCTAGACAATTTCCCTATGTCTGTACACACACATCTCCCACCACGATCACACACACTGCAAATAAAACAGTTCACAGAAACTTCAAGAAACGGGTCCGAATAGCCTTGTGCTAAGCCTCTCCTCCTACAAGAAAGCACCTCATGTGGTCACTCTATGACCCACAGAGTAACCCCAGAGAAGCAGGTGGCACGGAAGATGGGAGGAACACAGTGCCTGAACAGGGAAGGGAGTGAACAGAGCCAACATGCATGCATGAACACACGTGCACACACATACACACATATGTACACATAAACATGCATACATATATACATGTGCACACTTTTTTTTTTAAAAAAGGAGCTCTGGTAAAGTTTGATTAAAGGAAAACTTTTTACTTTTCACCAGTCTGTTCTGGCATGCTTCTAATAATGTCAGAATCACCTGGGTCAATGATGGCCAGTGTGCATACTCTGTAGTATTTTCCACATGCTGTGCCCAACTCAATGTTATTGCCACTGTAGTGATGGACACCAGTTTTAGCCAACATGGCATAGTATTCTATTTCAGATTTCCTCAAGGCGGAGCAGTTGTTGGTGAGGATCACCAATTTTGCTTTGTCCTGTCTGATCATCTTCAGAGTCTGTTTGTATCCCAGCACGTACTTCCCACTTTTCATAACAAGCTGGAGCCAAGAGTTGATCGACTCCAGAGACTTTTTCGTCTTCTTTGATGCCACCATCTTCCTGCCTTAGGTGCGGGACGGCCCCCAACCAAGACCAGCCGCCAAGATGGCCGGGGAGTAAGAAAGGAAGGCCATGTGCACACTTTTGTTAAAGATACCACACAAGCGTACATAGCCAGAGAATAGTATGCAAAAGAAATAGAAGCTAAAAACACTTCTAGTTGTTTTTCCAGAGGACCTGGGTTTGATTCCCAGCATCCACATGGCAGCTCCACAGATAGACATGCAAGCAAAATCTTCACACACATAACATTAAAATAAATACATCTTTTTTTGGAGACAGGATTTCACTATGTAGTCTTGACTCCCTTGGAACTTGCTATGTAGACCAGGCTGGCCTCGTACTCTCAAAGATCCACTTGCCTCTACTTCCCAAGTTCTGGGATTAAAAGTATGTGCTGCCACACCCAGCTAAATAAATAAATCTTTAAGGGAAAAGACAAAAAGAGAAATCCTTATCAACAGTAGTGGCTCACTGGCGCTATTCAACATCTAAGCCAGAATCGAAAACAAACAAGAGTTACTTACTGAACTGTATTTTGTTTTGTTAGCGTTGGGAGCTATGAACCATATAAGGATTTAAGAAAAAAGAATACTGCAAAACTAGAAATAATCTACAAAACCTATTTGTGTATTGTCTTTTCAGTTGAGATTGTAATCGTAAGTTTACCATCTTCTGATGACTTAAAGGAAAAAATATGCCTTTGGGAGTAAGGAATGAAGAGATGGCTCAGCAGTGAAGAGCACTGACTGCTCTTCCAGAGGACCCAGGTTCAAATCCTAGCACCCATATGGCAGATTGCAATTGTCTGTAATACCAGCCCCAATGTATCTGACACATCCTTCTAGCCTTTATGATTACAAGACATGTAGGTGGCACATAGGTGACACAGAGGCAAAATACACATAAAACAAATTTTTAAAAACCCTTTATGGAGTCCTTGAGTAAGCACAATTCAATACCCGCATCTGCATTTCTGTTAGGTCCAAATGTCAGCTAAAGTGATCGGGTTTAATGCAGTGGGATCCAAATATCAAATGGCGTGTTTGCCACTGTCCCTGAGTAAAGCAATGACCAGAAGGTGTGTCAGAGATGGGAGCTGCACGTTGGGAAGATGAAATGAGCATCAAAGGGCACGTCCAACAGCGGGAAACAGCCGCAGGCACAATGATACCAACACTGCACATTGCAGGCTGTGCGGTGCACAGACAGCAGCTGTCCGGAAAGACAGGTGACCTTGTTTGTGCTAGCCAAGGCTCACTCAGTCCTAGTTCTGTCCGGGGCCGAGTCATTGCCTTATAAACACAGCTGAAGAACCGTGCTCAGATCTCGTTCACATCAGTGATTTTCAGGACGGGCTGTAGCAGCTCAGAAGCAAATCCAAACGCACAGAACTTTTATGAGCAGATTCTGTCGACTCATCTGCTCCCGATCAGCGGCTTCGGCAATTCGGGTTGGAAAAGGAATGAACGCAGCTGCTGCATTTGCTACAGAAAGCACCCAAGCATCATGCCATGAGAACAATGAGAGGCTTTTCCCCATGGATTAGACTTAAAAGCACAATTTTCATCAAAGCCTTTACAATCACAGACACATTCCACAATACTAACCAGATTGTTAGTTAATACTAACTAAGCGCTGTGCCCAGTACTTACTTCATTTAAGCAGAAATGGAGACCACAGCCAGATTAAGTGGGTAGAACATTTTTTTAAATTCTCTCCAATGGAAGATGTTTTCAAATAAAAGCAGCTATATTTCAAGTGGCAGCATTGAAACTCCCAGCCAATGATCACCCAGGTTTTCCATTCAGCAATTCCTAGACTTAAACCTCAGGCAAGAGCGAGAAAGGAGATAGATACTTACAAAGCCACGTCCTCCAACTGCTCTGGAACACAGAACGCGGGAGGAGGTCCCAGACTGCAGGAGGAGGAATAGAAGTCGTGAAGAGGCAGCTGACTGCTGCAGAGGTAGCGGCCACTGACCTTCAGCCTGGCCAGCCAGGTGAGCAGACACAGCCCCAAGGGCAGGCGAGCACAGAGGAGGGAGACGCTCCTGCGGGCACAGGATGCCCAGTTCCCAGGGACTGACCACCACCTCCACCCTGGCCAAGCCCCAGCTTGAGGGGAAACAGATGCCCGGGGAATTAGCACAAATGAATCCGAATTCATCCAGTATAGCCAGCAGTGAGCAATCAGGGAGAAGTGGAGAAAATTTCCCAAACCAAAACCACGAAGAGGAAAGAGCGACTGCTCTGGAGACATTGAGGAGAATGCTAACAACCTTTAAAGTCACAGCATTAATATGAGAAGATGCTGCCACGATAGCATAAGGGATAATGTGCAAGGGAAGGAAGCTGGGAGTAACTGAGAGTGCACTCTTCGACATTTAAAATGGGAAAACAGAAATTCAGCAGAAGGTAGAAAATGAAGCAAGTCTAAAAGTCTAAAATGTCTAAGGAAGATTTGGCAGGAAAAATCATGCAAGTAAAAGGCAATGGTCCACACTAAATTAAAAAAAATAACTGGAAGTGAAAGAGGGATGGAGAGAAGGGGAAGGGGAGAGAGGGATGGAGTGAAGAAGAGAAGTGGGGAGAGAGACAGAGAGTGAGGTTAGTAGCAAGAACACAGCGTGGCTATCAGCAGTCAGCAGATCCAAGTCTTTATTCTAACTAGTGCTTCTTCTTCTCCCTCTTTTCTGACTTAATGACCAATTTGTGTGCCCGTTTACATACACACACACACACACACACACACACACAGAGAGAGAGAGAGAGAGAGAGAGAGAGAGAGAGAGAGAGAGAGACCTGGAAACCCCAAAAACAATAACGAGAAGAGAGAATTACAAAACGCACTAAGAAAAAGAAAACAGGTCACCTACAAATTTTCTTTTATCAGATTGCCATAAAAATGTCTCTTGATGAACAACAGAAGTTGTGAGTTCTTGAAAGAAATCTATTTCCAGGCTGGAAAATGACTTTTAATGCAGTGGGTGAAGCTTAAAAACATCCTCAGAAATGAAAAACTATGCCCTGTAGCCATCTCTGATCCCTCTTTCTCTGGAAATTAACTCCTGGGATGCACTTAGATAAAACAAACATGTAAACCAAAGAGTGCAGGACACTAGGTCCTGGGAGGAGCGAGGTAAGAAGCCTTGAAGACAGAGACTGCAGAATGAGGCCCTGAGGGGAGCAGCAGAAGGTCCTGAGAACAGAGAGAGCCCAGGACACAGCTGGCATCCAGGCAATGCTCACACCTGATTCCCTCGCTCATTGACTCAGCCTGAGATTCTGCCTGCCCAGCCCCCTCCATGCTCGCCACCTTCTGAACCCGTGCTTGGAGGTCATGGTTTAGGAACAGGAAGGAATAGAAGACTAGAGGACAACCACAGTCCCATGTTGGTCAGTTTTCCAACACTGTAGCAGATCGTCTGGGAAAACCAACTGTTCTGGCGTGCTTTCTGTGGCCGTGCTGAAACACTCCCAACAAAAGCAACTTAAGGGAGGAAAGGATTTATTTCAGTTTGCAGATTACAGTTCATCACTGAAGGGAACTCGAGGCAGGAACTACTTCCTTTTCCATATAGCATTACCTTTAATCACGGAGCTCCCTTCACAACCAAAGAGGTACAGCAGGAACCATAGAGGATGCTGCTGGCTGGCTGGACAGGATACATACCTGTGCTTAGCTACCTTTCTCATACAGCACAGACCCACCTGCCTAAGAATGGAACCACCCACAATGGGCTAACCCCCTCTAACAACTAACAATCAAGACAGCCCCTCACAGATAAGCCCACAGGCCAAACTAATAAGTATTCAGTTGAAATTTAGGCTGTGTCAAACTAACAGAAAGAAAATAGGCTTCTTGCTAGTCTATAATTGGACAGACCATTGTCTATCTGAGGGGGATGCAAAATGATATCCATAGGGAACAAAATATGTACCTCCTGTCATGATGGCAAAAGAAAAGGTAAAGACCAAGATGTACGAACCCCTTCAAGGATACACACCCAGCAGTCTAAGGGCGTCCCCCTGGGCTCTACCTATCGAAAGTTCTACTGTCTCTCTGCATTGTGGCCAGGGGGACAGACCTTGGACACATGGACTTCAGGGGTCATGTTAAACTCCAAACTGCGGCACATCTCCTCTGAGAATATGAAAACCTGAAGAAAAGACACTGTTCTGGGGATCATCTATAATGAGAAACAAAACAGACACCCTGAGATCCCACAGTAACTCGAGGCCAAGAATAGGCAGGTACAAGTGTCCAGACCATTCATCCTCTTTTCATAAGGAAGTAACAAGTAGAGATGGATTCATTGATCACACAGGGGAGCTGCGGCTGGCATCACTCATCCTTGGGTTTTCTTCCTTCTTCCTCCCCTTCCAGTCTATTCTGAAGTGAACTTGACCCACGGGGTTAGAAGGCTAATGATACATACAGTCTTAACCGGATATTAGGGTACTGGGGTAGAAATTACTCATGCATGTGTTTCCAGAATAAATTAGCAACTGAATTGGTAGGGTGAGGAGAACAGAGGCTTTTCCAGTGTGAGAAGGCATCAATCTGTTGAGATCTGAGTAGGATCAAGGCTAGAGCCAGGGCATGGATCTTCCCTGCCTTTGTTGTAGCGTCAGCTTTCCTGGGTCTACACGTTGTAAACAGCTGTCATGGTGAGGGTGCTCAGGCTCCATAGTCTCATGGGTCACAAACTCATAACAAAAAATACTTATTATGCCTGGGACATCCCTGTTCGCTCATTGGACAATGTACACACAGCCGTAGCCAATGTCTACATCACTGATGTTGGAAATGGTTTGAGAGTGAGATGTATTCCAAGCCGAACACCAGAACAGACTGAAATGCTTCATTTTGCAGCTTCCAGATTAAATCTCAGGGTCATCTAATGTCATTAAGATAACAAAAAAGGGGACTGCAAAGATGGTTCTGGGGTTAAGAACATTGGGTGATTCCCAGCACCCATATGGAGGTTCACAATCATCTGTAACTCTAGCTTCAGGGCTCCAATGCATCCCTTTGGCCTCCAGCATACACACGGTGCAGATACACTCATGCGGGCTCATACACATACACATAAAAATTAATGAATAAATAAATATTTTAAAGTTACCCAAGGAAAAGCTGGAGGCAGAACTTAGTAGAGTCCTTGCCCAGTATCTGTAAGGCCTTGGGTTCAATCTCCTGCAATGGAGAAATTTTAAGAAATGCCAAAGGAATTGCAACTGCCATGTTCCCTTGCCATCTGATTCAATCATAACTCAGATGCCACGGTGGAGCAGAATTTAGGTGGCGGTAATATATTGCTCTCTTAACCCAGGACCTAACATAACTTACCTGCTCCTCTTTCTCTTTAATCTATTCCCCTCTTCTCTGCATTTGAAGAGCGATTGCCTTTGCCTTACATCCCAAGATGCATCCTTCTGCTCACGG